TGTGGTAAAACATAGGGGTTCAGTTTCAATCATCTACAGACAACAGTTTTCCCAGCACCACTTGTTGAATAGGCCATCTTCCCTCCAATGTATGCTTTTGGCCCCTTGTCAAAAATCGAATAGCTAAATGTGTCTGGAAATGTTGTTATATCCTCAATTCTGTTCCATTGCTCCACATATATAGGTTCATATGAAGAAATGAAAACACTAGACCACCTGTAATAAGAGACCCAGTCAAGAAATGGGCAAGTGAAATGAACAGACATTTCACAGAGAAAGAAATCCAAATGGCCAACAAATACATGAAAAAGTGCGCAACATCTCTGACCATTAGAGAAATACAGCAACAATGCTAAGATTCCATCTTAGTCCAGAAGGAATTGGCAATCATCAAGAAATCAAACAATAACAAATGTTGGTGAGGCTATTATGTAAAAGAAATCCTCCTAAATTGTTGGTGGGAATGTAAACTAGTATAACCAGTGTGGAATCAGTATGAAGATTCCTTGAGGCACTAAAATTAGAAATTCCATGTGAGCCAGCTGTCCCTATTCTAGGTATCCTCCCCATAGAATTTAAGTAAGCTACAGTGATATATGCATACATCTGTTTATAGAAGCACAGTTCATAATAGCACAGTACAGGCTGGAAGCAGCCTGTGTACCCATCAACAGATGAGTGAATTAAGAACATGTAGTATCTATATACAGTCAAATACTGCTTAGATATAAAGATGGACAAATTTGAGATATTTGTAGGAAGATGGATGCACCTGGAAAATATAATGTTGAGTGAAATAAACCAGACACACAAGTTTAAATATCACTTTGTGTCTGTCATTTGAGTAGGAAAAAATACAAGCAAAGAGGTTAATAAAGGATGCATAAGAGATAAAGGGGTAGATCTCTTGATAATGGGAAGGGGTCCAAAAGACTAAGAGTGAGGGGTAGGAGGACAGGAAGAACACTAAGTAGAATAGACACACCATATACAGGAGCCTCAGTGAGTGTAAACACTGTAATAAACATGAGCCATGGACATGAGCCGAGATAAATTAACATCAACCAGAATGAAAATGGGGAAAGAGGAATTAGAGGAGGGAAGGGAAGGGGAGGAAAGAAGAAGAGGATTAAAAAGAGAAACAAGCTGTAGTATGCACATGTACCCACTCCCCACAATGACTGTAAACTGCAGGGACTACTGGAAACATGTACTCAAAAAAAAAAAAAAAAGAAGGAAAGAAAGAAAAAGTGGAAAATGGAATGAATGAGTGAATCAGATGATGTAAAGAGAATCTGCTTGCAGTTTTAATTTTTCCTTAAATTTACTTTTGGTTGTTAGGTGTGTGTCAGTATCATGGATATTTCCATTCTGTTTTTAAACAGCAGTGGAAATATTATGGGAAGGCTTGGCTTTGTTAGATCAGATTCTGGTCCCTTTACATGTGTGGTGAGTTCTGTACTAAGTTACCTGCCTGGGTCTGTGTTCAGCTTTAATACATTGTTGCCATCATTTCCTGGGGGAATCCCAGATAAGCAGCTCAAAATCTCTAAAGTCACATCCCTCCTCACAGACATTATTAATAACTTTAGTCTTTTAAATTATGTTTATCAATAATAAAATACTTAGTTTTGAAACCTCTCACTGCAACTGTTGGGGAAGCTCTGCTATTTATCTATAATTTTCTAGGGAGTAAAGGGAGGGAGAAGTAATACAAATGCTTTATTAATACTGTGAAATCTTCTAATTAAATTTGGCATACTCTGAGTATTATTCAGATGCTACTTCTAAAAGTTAAAAGTGTAAGCCTATTATAAACTATAGAGAGAGGATAAATTATTTTAAGAAACATTTTTGAAGTTCCAATGGATTAAAAAACTTAATAAGGACTACACCTTAGAAGAAAAAATAGAAGTATAGTCACATAAACAAAAGAAATTTAATATGACTCAAATGACAGTTTCTGTTGTATGTTCAACTATTTCGCTAGTGTTTTAAAAATTCATAAAAAAACTTAGAAAAGTGACAAACTGATATAAAATAGTTATATATCAAATATTGTATTTTGTACATATATATTAATAATATAAATAATAGATAATATAGTTATATAATTAATAACCTGTCTTTATGGTTGATATATTAATTTATAGTTACAAGGCTATTATCGTATATTTGTTTGCCATTCAGTAAAAACACTTATTTATATAGTTACTAGACAGTTATTTTTGGATAAATCATTGTTATTAACAAACCTACAGTGGCACAAATAAAACTTGAAAGTATATTCCTGCTTAGCAAAATATTGGATATGATAGAGAAGAAACAAGTTCATTGCAATTTTTCTATCATATAAATACATGATTGAGATTTTGTGTGTATTGCACTCTCTCTGTGATAAACGCTTTCTCTAATCTTGAAGAACAGTTTTGTGGCTTCAAAATATCCCAGCTATGCTATTAATACTATCTCTAAGTTATTAATGACACATTTCTAAGCATTAGAAAGCAATAGGTAAAAAAGTATAAATATATTCACCTTGTAGAAGCATTTCCATGATTTCAGGGATAAGAGGCAAGCTTGTTGAAATTGATTATTGGTTGGAAAGTGAAAGCCCTGATTTGGGATTTTTAAGTTGAAGTCTGCATTGCAGGTAGCATTTGTGGGCTATCTAAAGCCACCTTTTCCAAACTGCGGTGCATGTGTGACTTCGTGCCCTTTAACCTGTGGAGAGGTGTCACTGGTCCATGTGTAAAGCCATCAAATAACGTGTTGTCCTGAAATCATGCTCCTCCTGCAAAAAAATAAGTTGCATAGAGATTATAATTTTATGCTAAGGAGAAGATATACAGCAGATATATCAGAAAAGATAACCTATATTCGTGGGAATACATTTTCAAGTGCAAACATCTTTATAGACAGAGAACTCACATTTCAATAGAATATACTCACTTTCCATGCACAACTTTAGTTTTGCTGATCTTGAGTGTATATTCACAGGACTGTACCATCATCTCTACAGTGTAAATTTGGAGTATTTTGTTTCCTCTGAAAGCAAAGTGTTCCCTTTGTCCTCCCAAGCTCCCCTTACTAATCAACCATTAGTGTATTTTTGTCCCCATGCACTTGCCTATTTGGAACATTCCGTGTCTTTGGGGTCATGCAGTATTCGGCCCTTGTGTCTGGCTTCCTTCACTTAGCTTAATAGTTTCAAGATTTGCCCACGGCTTACCATTTTTCAGAACCCCTTTTTGTGTCTGAATGACATTCATCTGTGTATAGACACCTCGTTGTGCACATCTGTCAGTCAAAGGATGTTTAAATACCACTATGAATACTCACCACACTGTGCACATCTGTCAGTCAAAGGATGTTTAAATACCACTATGAATACTCACCACACGTACCTTTAATGTAAAACTAGATGCCCCCGTGCTTCTGCTTCTCAGGCTATGCTCCTCAGCTTTAGCGATTCGTTCTTCTGCAGTGTTAAAAATACTAAAGATTTCCTACTTTGGCAGGAAAGGTTGAGAAGCCCTGCATGAGATGATGTCGGATCACACAGACCGAGTAAGGAAACAGCGCCTCTTCCGCCTACCCACCAACGATTTGTTTGAATTTATTATTGTCATCACAGTGCTTATTCGGTGTCGATTGCTTATTCTTCTCCTCAATTGCAGCCTTTACCCATCCAGGCCTTTTTCCTTATTTGCCTGTGAACTCGCCAAGCAGTGCGCTACCAACAGTGGACATTGCGTCGTCTGGGCCTCAGTCCTAGCATCTTGCCTCAGTAACTGCTGTCCCGAGCACATGCTCATTGTTGCCTTCCTCCGATCTTTCATCTCAGCGAGATGTTTGTATTTAGTTGTCCTCCATCTTTGCTTTTAGGTAGGGATACAAACTGATTTAGGAAGGCCTTCCCATCCCTGCTCGGTGCGTGTACAGGTTACCAACTGAGCTCCAGTCTGCCATACACAGGATCTTAAACTGTGCTAAGCAGTAAGTGCATCAGAAAGATGAGAAAAGTCCCAGATGGGGTTCAGGTTTCCTTCACTTTCATATCATTTTATAACTCTGTAGATAAATGATACAACTCTAATCTGCCATTAGATTCATTCCCGGTCATTTTTTATTTTTCCAGTGGGTTTCCATTCATAAAATGTAAACTCTTCTGAAAGTACAAAATGATTTTAAAATGTAAAGCAGACTTGCTTTTTTGTGATTCCTCCTGTTAACAATCATCATTTGCAGGCCATCGGTATTTATATTTACACATTTAGAAATACATTCTGAAGTAATTAATGCAATCATTTTCTGTATAATTACAAAACAAGTCCCTCTCTTTCTTGTCTTTCAGTTACATCCTTTAGTTAGCATGCTTTACACCTGGTAATAATTTTATAATTTAGTGTGATGCAGATAAGCTGTTGGTAAATCTTCTTTATGGCTTGTTTTTATTCAGTTTACTTTTTATCATGATTGGTGGATACCTTTTGGTATTCCTCCATCCTTGACACGTTCCTCCCTTGGGTATCCTGGTCTTCTGATGGCCAGAGTAGATCAAATCCTTCTAACCAGACGACCCTCACATTTATTTCATTATTTTCTGTGCGTTTTTCATTCTTTAGAGTTGTGTTCCTTATCTCTGTTCCAGCCACTATCTCCAGACTCTCATCAAATGTTCACGGCACACATCTGTGGCTGTACCTTGCATCCCTTCCCTTTCCACTGGGGACACTGTTTCTTTCCTCTTTTTGCTTTCCACTTGCAAAAATATTCCTTTGCATAGGCTTCTTCCTCTATATTTGCAAACCTGATAAGGTAACTGCCTGTTCTCAGAGTAAAAATAATACTACTGCCAACAGCGTGTGTGCTTGTTCTTGTCCTGCTTGACTGCCTCTGTCTTTACCTGCAGCTGTCCAACTTCGCCGGTTAAATACTTGAGCTTTGCTCTCAACATTTTGCTAAGTACTTGTTATCGTGTTTGCGTTTTCTCGTAGGTGATTGCGTGCGAGCAGCAGCTGGATGCCACCTATGACGCCAGATGTGACACCTGGTCCCTGGGAATCACGGCCATCGAGCTGGCCGACGGAGACCCTCCACTGGCGGACCTGCACCCCATGAGAGCGCTCTTCAAAATACCAAGGTAGCGGCTGCGGCCTGTCCTTCGCCTCCTCTGACCTCTCCTGCGCACTAAGGACAGTAGTCACGTCTAAGCTGGCCAGCTGGGAAGAGTAGCCAGAACATTCTGCTCCTCCCAAGACTGTATCCACTTGGCGACTGCATTTCCCTGGCCTAAGTAAAAAGCCTTCACCTTGGTGGTCAGACTCTTTCTTTCTTCTGCTAAGATTTGATCTCACGAAGTAGCAGCTCTGCCCACTGCTTGTCTCTCCTCAGTCAGGGAGGCGCCTGGTGCTGGACCGTGCTGCTGTGATTTTCTTCACCGGCCAATCCAGACATTTTTCACCACTTGCTGACTTCTCTTTTTTCATAACTTTAAAATAATCATATTATCAAGGATTGATAAATAAAATGTATTGAATGAAGAGCGATTTAGATATGTTAATATTTTGAATATGCCCATATAAAGTCGTAGAGATTAACTGTCCTGAGCCAGGAAGTCTGCAGACTCCTCCCCTCCAGGGCATGCGTCAAGAAAACATTATTACTGATTTGTTTGAATACTGTTTTATATGTGTGTTGATTACTGTAGATATTTCAGAAAGTGAATGTGGAAAGATTGCCTGTCCTTAATCACAGATGAGTCAGTTCTGAAAGCCGTGAGGGTTTTGCCTTATTCTCCTGGAAGGCGCACACAGCCTGTGATGGCAGGGCCCAGGCAAAGTGGAGGGGGCTCCCGTACAGCCTGTGGGTGCCCTGTCCACTGAACAGGCTTCGTGGCCTCCACATCGTGGTGACAGAGACATGCAAGGCCCTGTGGGCGTGGGGAGTGGTCTAGTCCTCGAAAATGTCTACACGTTCTTTTTCCCAAACGGGACCACTGGAAATATTTGGCATGTAGCTAAATGATAACACCAAAGCATTTGCATTTTTCATTTCGCTGGCCACTTCATTTTCTTTTCTTCGTATTGGTGCGTGTCCGTTGTACAGAGCAGTGGTTTCATTTGACGTATTAGTACAGTCACGCAGCGTTCTCCTGCAGCTCTCATCCTCCCACCCTTCCCCTTTCCTTTTCCTCCTCCTTAATCCCTTCCTCTTCTCTCGTAGTCTCCCTTCTACATGCATTTAGTCTGTCTCTACACGAGTGGGAAAAAATGGATGATTTCATCTCTCTGAACCTGACTTTTTCACCTAACATGATTACATTTGGTTATTTTAATGAGTCTCGAATTACCTATCTGTGTATATGTCCTGAATTCTAATCTTTAGATATAAATCATACTTTACCTAACAATTTCATTGTCATCTTAGTTCTTACTATTTGTAAAATACGGTAGCACTTATTTGTTAAGTGGAGAAACTTACAGAAATGAGAAGGAATGTCCTGTACATCCGCTCTGAGACATTTCGTTTAATCTGAGGAAATCAAATTTTGAAATCTGTTTTTTCTAATGCCTGTTGTCATTCAGTATGTAAGATGAGCCCTGTACTTTCTGAGCCATTTTAATCATGGTTCAAACCACAGTATTTAACCCAGTGCTATTATGCTTGGTCTCAGTGCTATATGGAGGTGGGATATATATATATACCACTGATAGATTGTCCCTCCAAAATAATCAGTGTGCCAGGTGAGTGTGGAGATTGCAGCAAGTAAAGTATTTCTTATTATTTCAATCACCAGTGTATCTCTGATGGGAATTTTCCAAATATTAACTTATAGAAATACGTAGACAGAGAGAATCTGAGAAGCTACCCACTTCTAAGTGTTAGGATATCATCAAAGCTTTGTTATACTCAAAGAAAGTCAATAAATCTCCTAAAAGGAAACTTTGAGGGAACAAGAAATGGAGAGAGATTATTGGCAAAAAAGCACATCTCCTTTTTATATGCGATTTGGCAGTCTTCACATAGTCCTAAGGGATGGGCAATGCGCTTTGTCTTGTGTGGAGCAGATGAGTGATAGCACTTTGTTTTAAAGAGCTGTACACCCTGTACATTAATTTCATTATCAGCTATTTAAGGAGTGATGCAGAGCTGAAGACCAAGTATTTCCCTTTCACTAATGAAAACAAAGAGCTGTTGCAGTGAACATAAAGTAGCCCTTCAGCAAATTCAGCTATCATGGTTGATCAATGTAGCTTGATTACAGCCTCAGATCAGCCTCATTTCCAAGCAATATGCTTTTGTATTCATGGACAGGCCAAAAAAGAAAAGATTTGTTCAGCTTAAAAATGAAAGGAATTAATAAAATCTTTTAAGTAGCACTCAGAGCTTTACAGCTAATAATGTTCTCCAGTTCCTTGCTTTTGTAACACTTTGTAACACTTGCTTCCTGCCATGTACCCAGTAACAAAAGAACCACCACAAAGGCAAGTCCTACTGTGCCCCTTGGTTGGAGTTTCCGGCCTATTCCAAACAGCTTTGCACCCTGGGTAATTCTCAGCGCCTTCTGCAACACTATAGGGAAAAAAGTCTTTACCCTAAAATTCATTGTTTCAAGTCTGGTACCTATTGATGTTTTCCCAGCACTCTCCGGTAAAAGCAAGATTCTTTAAAAAAAAAAAAAAAAAAAAGAAAAGAAAGAAAGA